TCTTGCAGAAATCTGAACTAGCTTTTCCAACTTCTTCTTTATCCTTGGACATAATGTATCATCTAAAAGGTCATGAGACATAAGGTTCTGCTTACTATATATCCTCTCCATGACATAATTGCGTATGTCTTCTAACATGTGGATTAGAGGTTTAGTCCTTGCTCTACATATTGTTCCGTTAAAAGCTTCACACATGTTATTCTCAGATGCATCACACCTCACACTGTGACTTCTTTGCCAACCAAGATGTTGTTGCTTGCTTGTTTCTCAATGACCTAGTACATGTATGGTCTGGGAACACACTTTTAACTACAAAAGCTTCTTTCTCCTGAAGCCAACTTGCATATACTTTCCACTTGCAACCTGCGATGCATCTGGCATCCATCTTGTTATAGCTTGACTGCTTCCACCTTATCTCTCTTCCATTTTCAACAGCACTCAACCTAACTGCCTCTTTGAATTGTGTAGGACTATCAAACCTTAGCCCAATGTCAAACTCCAAAGTTTTATGGTCACATTTTGAATCATAATGTGAAACCTTGTTTTGTTTCCTTTCCATCTTATATGCAAATATATCTTCAATATCACTGGGAACCGGACTATCTTGTTCATCCTCTGTGGAATTGTAATCACTGTGGTAGTGTTGCCCTTCTTTTTCCGAATAGTCATCACTTCCACCACTTTTTTGATCTGGTGATACATTTGTAAAATCATCCTCATGATCATTTATAACAAAACCAGAAGATATTTTTCTTCTAAGTTCTTTCATAACTTTTCTTGCACCAGTTAACTCCTCATCTGAACTGCACTCGTCACCACTCACACATTCTTCTTCTTCTACCCCAATTTCTGCAGCATTCATATACTCTTCGTATGCATCTGCCATTGCCTCCTCCAGTGCATCCTCAGTATGCTCTACGTGTTCTTCACTTTGAATTTGTTGCGGGTTATTAGTTTTATGAACAATGGATTCTTCAAGTAATCTCTCTAGCCACTCTTCATCTATTGATGCATTTAAGTTGTTAGTAGCTGCAGTTTGAGAAGTAACACCATCAAGAGGCTGACCTGCTCCTTTTTGTACTTTAGATTTTTTTTCTTGCACATAAACATCCACTATTCCTTGCTCACATGCTATCTTTATCATCTTCACAAACTCCTTAGAACCCGTTAATAGCTCACCGGCAATAGGCAGTGAGCTGGACCATTGTCATAACAGGTTCCTTATAAGCCATCATCCACTTTAGATGGACTGGTTTATAAGCCATCATAACAGGTTTCTTATAACCATTGTCATGAAGAAAATTTAATATATCAAACTCACAGAACAAATCCGGGTCCTCCTCCCACTTCTTTGTCAGACATTGCACCTCACCTGCATATCTAATCGGTTCCTCACTTACAAAAGCTCCACCCAAATGAAAGCAAATTCCAAATGCTACTGCCATTATGCATAATCTGAAACAAAGAAACCAAGTTCAATTTTATAAGCAACGAATAAAATGAAATCAATTCTATCAATTCTTATGCTACAAAACTGTTATTCTATGATTTATTATGGAGATTCTTGTGTGAATAAACTAAAAAGAAACTTCAGATCGTGCATAATGGCAACATCATTTGGAATTCGCTTTCATTTGGGTGGAGCTTTTGTTAGTGAAATGATCATGATGCTTGAGTTGCTGTCATATAAGAGTTGCAACATTTTTGCAAGTTTCAACTACATGAAAGTAGAAAACAGAAAGCACTAATTCTTAGGCTTTATAAAAATGGAATGAAAAAACATTAAAAAACATTAAAAAAAAACAATACTCTTTTTGGCCAAGTGCAAGTATTTCCTTCTTTTCATTTTTTTGAAAAGTACGTACTAGTGTTTGCATAATTCTAATAGCTTAGACTTAGTGCAGTCATTTTTGAGAAAAAAAGATTAATTTGTTTGCTGTTTTTGGTATAATGACTTATGAAACATCTTTTAGTCATTTTCACAAACACCTATTGTGCAAAACTCATCCTTCAATCTAAACTCTCAGAAATCTAGTGCATCTACTTTGCTTTCCACAATGGATAGGTAAGATAGAGAGTTTAATTGAAAATACCTGGAAGTGACGAATTCCTTTTGCTAGTTCAAGCCATCATTGATTTATTTTTGAAAGGCAAGTTTCTTTTGAAAACCCATGCGAGAAGGTGAGAAACTTCTTTCAGCTTGAACCCTAAGCTTGGCATCTTACGGATAAGAGGACTTTACCTCATGAATTAAAATTTTCTCTAAATTAATTATTAATTAATTTAATAGCTTAATAACATGTTGGCTGATGAATCAGCATTTTCGTGTTTCTCTTTAATGCCAGGTAAGCAACTAACGGAATAAAATGGACGGAATGAAACGGATTATAGATTTGTCTTACATATTAAAACGATAGATGTTTTTAAGTAATTATGTATACGATGGACTAGATTTGTCACAAACTCTAAACCTTGGATTTATTTTGTGTAATAAGCCTTTTATAATAGTGCCTCTTAGATTTTTAGCATTGTTTATAATATGAAAACACCATTAGATATATACTCCCCCGTTGTTTAATAACCGTCTCTTATTCCATTTTGATCTATTTTTTATTATTTGTCCTTTCCATATTAGGAAAGTTTTTGAAATAAATACCCCACTTTTGTTACCATTACTCCTTTTACTTTTACATACTATTTCTCACTCCTACTTCATCATCACTTTAATCCTCTTAATATATTACGGTGTATCTTTCTGACTTTATCATCATTTTACTCTTCTTAATATACTCTCCTACTTAATTAAGAATGGAGGGAGTACTTTATAGTGTACACACATAGTGAGTAGTTGATGCACACAAACATACTAGATACTTGATATTAGCTTATGTAACAACGAATATTTATACACACATAGTATGTTTATTGATACGTGTGTAATTTCCGTGTGTATGTTTACGTTTTTAGTTAGTTTTGGTTGTTTAATATTTCGGAAATTACACACTTTTGGTGTAATAGTTATGTTTGTAATTTAGTTGTAATTCAGTTAGAGTAGGATCATTCTGAACTTAAACAGGGCCAAGATCAATCAAATGATCATTGGTGAAGGAAGGTGCAAGAGTACAAGACGAAAAGGAGGAAAAATCGTGATTTTTTACCTATACCCGGTCGAGTATACCATATACTCGATCGGGTACCAACTGGACTTTCAATCAGATCAATCAGGAGACAAAAGGGTGTGCAAGGGAAGATTTGGCCACGATCAATTGTCATACCCGATCGGGTACACCGACACATCCGATCGGGTATGCCTTACATTTGCACTCTGAAATCGATCGAGTATGCCTCAAAAGTACACTTTTTACACATACCTGATCGGGTATTTATATATACTCGATCGGGTACCCGAACTGCACTCCCAAAAAGCCTATAAATACACCCTCTTCCCTTCACAATTAGATACCAATTCCCTTATACTCTTAAGCTCAGTTTAGAATAGCATTTATTTATATTTCTTCTAGCATGTTTAGTCTCCAAATGAAGAGCTAAACTTCCATTTCTTGGTTTTGCTCTTGAAGCTGGTTGATTATTAAAGTTGTGACTTATTTTCTTAACTTCTTCCCTTAATCTATCTCTATATTAATGTTGGAGGGTTGCTAAGTGACGATTAGTTAACGTTCCGAAATTAATTATTACTAGAAATGATCAACGAACCGATGGTTAATCGTTGATGATTTCACAAGTAAGTAACTTCAGTTTATTAATGCACGGTCGTGGTTAATAAACTTAAGAGGGATTAATTTTGTTGGTTAAACCGAAACCATTGTGTTGAGATTATCAATCTCAATTGATTTCATCAAGGAGTTAAAGAACGGTCGTTGTTAATAACTACCCTCGATGAATTGGAGATACTCCTCGATTGAGTATTCGAGAGGGGATAAGTTATAGATATAACAATGATCGACTGAAATATATCAACAAGTGGAAAGTAGCAAGACCAAGTCCTTTTTATTCTTGAATTAAATCACATATAACTCGTTCATCTTCGTGTTTAATTTAATTAAATCACTCAATCAACCCCCCCCCCCCCCCTTTATTTACTAGTTACATAAAAAGAGAGTTATTCCTTTCCATGTGGATACGAACTCTACTACGCTATACTACGTATAGTTGTTAGTATCGAATTATTTTGAGAGCACACACGACAAAGCGCACGTCATTTATGCACACAAACATACTAGATATTGATACTAGATACTAAATTATTTATACTAGTATACAACTCTAGCTTCACCTGGTATAAATTCGACCTATTGCCGCCCCTAATCACCTACCTTTTACATGTTTTCATACAAAAGGGATTCTAAAAATAAACGAATTAAAACACCATGTAAGAAATAATTATTTGATAAGAAATATAAAAATAGTTTAATAAATTTGAAATAGTTTATTTTATTAATCATAACAATATAAATAATGGAAAAAATACTAGTATGCATCATAAGTAAAGTATTGAGTAAATAGAACATACACATATATGTATAATATATAATTTGGAATGACATACATGATGCGAATATGTTTACTTATATTTTTACTATTATATTTTCGCATAGCTTATTCAAAAAAAATCATATAAAACGTGGTGAGGAGGAAAAGGGGTGGGTCTAGGAGTGATGGGAGATGGGGCAAGGGTGGGGGGAAGTTTTTAGATTTAATGCGGCTATGTCATCATCTTTCACACATTTCCAAAGTATATTGTTTAATAACTTTTTTTTAATTGTTTTGCGGTTATAATATGAAATTATAGATTTAAAGCACCTTGAGCATAAGCACGTAATGAGACTTTCAAAAAAATACAACAATGTGGTGCAAAGCATAACGTACTCATACAACAAATAAAATATGGTGTTAACTCATTTACTTGTGATCTATCTCACATAGTAAGAGCACATTACATAAATAGATATAAATAGATGCAAGAAGCAATGACAAACTTATTGAGAAAAAGGGAAAATGTACACAACTCTCTTTTATTGATTGTAGCGTTAAATTCCAAATCCACCAATTGTAAAAAAAAAAAAAACAAATCCATCTAGTCAAACTCCAATTCCACTTGTTCAAAATCTTATACAACTTTTGTTGTATATGCATCAAAATAATGGAAAATTTTGTACATCTTTGACAATCTAGATTCAAAGGAAAAGAAACCCCAAGAACTATTTTTGTACTGTCTTCCAACAGTTCCACATTCCGCTCACTATTACCTTCCGCTCACTATCACCTGAAACATTATATACAAATAACAACATTAACTAACATTGGCAATACAGGTATAACTTTTTATTGGAAGAAATAGACATACTATTCTTTAACGATAGATTGCCATAGAACCCCACTTTTTGACTGAATCTCATACTAAAGTAACTGAAAATAAGCTACATAAAAGCGCCCTATTGTTCGCCACACATAGATACTAAAATCACTCCACATATATTGCAACATATTCTGCCATCACAACCTGTTTTCGACATAGTTATAATGGAAATGTGCAATATAGATAAATTTAGAAAAAAACGTAGGATTCGAAAGCTGTTTTCAGCTATACACAATGCGGTAATGTAGGACTCTCTCCTGTCCAGAACCATAAATGGTGTTTAACACAATGCTCTAATTTTTCCCTTCATTCTTTCTCCTCATCTACCCCATTCTGATGAAAATTTTATGAGGAGTAACAAATACGGAGTAACTAAAATCTCATTGAATCGTTTGTTTCCCTTTATGGACTACACTATTTTTTTCCCTTTATGGACTACACTAATAAAACTAACTGTTACAAACACAACTGCTAACAAACTTGTTTAATACCAGTTGATTATAATTAAAAGCAAGTTACCCATAAACATAGTTTGAATGGGATAATAAAATGCTAAACTCTTATTGGACTCCTACTTGTGTTCAAAATCTACAAATAAACACCAATTCACTGAATGCACACTGTTTTCAGCCAAACTTACCATTTTAACTCCCATAATCAGTTGGATGGACCAAATTATTCCAAAGCCCACCATATAAACTCTGCATGACATAAAGTATACATTTGAAAAAATGAATGTTGAAGGTTAAAATTGTGTGTTAAAATTTATAACGATTAGTTAAAACAACGATGAAATAAACCTGAGTAGGTTTTGGTGCAGCTACTGAATGTGGCAGTTGAGCATAAGAAGAAGATTGGCCATATCCAGGAGGAAGTTGAACATACGAAGGGAATTGAACATATCCAGGTACAATTGGCACCCCTTGATTATGTGTCATAAAATTCATTGAAAATTCAGGTACCGGGGGGAACACAAGTTGCCGAGGAGTCATTGGAACCGCGCCATTAAGAGTCTTATTCTCAGGCTTGTTAGAAAACAAAACCAAATCAAAGTTAGAGAATTTAGAATATAATAAGGAGGCTCATGAAGGAGATAAATAGAGACAATTGCTTCTAAAAATGAATGATGAAGATTAAAAGTTCTTATTTTAAAAAGGATTCTCATTTTAGGAGGGATTCTCACTAGAACCCTCCCATATATGTATGTATGTATGTATGTATGTATGTATGTATGTATGTATGTATGTATGTATGTATGTATGTATGTATGTATGTATGTATGTATGTATGTATGTATGTATGTATGTATGTATGTATGTATGTATGTATATGTATGTATGTATATGTACATATATGTATATGTATGATAATTGCAAGAACACAAGATGGTTTTGACACTCAATAAGAGGTTCTTTAACTTCATATTTTATTGATCTGGGATAGCTCCAACTCCTTCAGTCGAGGGCCAAAATCCTAAGCATGCTTTTGCATGACTTTTGTAGTGTGTCATTATCATGTCTACAAGAGTACTCCTCATTCAGAGACCATATTAGCAGTAAATACCTGCACCGAAGTTGAGGTAAAGTGCTTCATTTGTTTATCAATCATCTTTGAACCGCCCTCTTTCTCATTCAACTTCATTTTCTGTTGTGTGAAGAAAAAAGTCACAACAGAAATTAGTAATTAAAACTTGTGTATGTCCTAGTAGTTACACTTCTTGTAAAGCTCATAACCTATATTGCACGTCTAAAGAAAAATTATAAACAGAACACAAAATTGTAGACATACATCATCCTTCTCATATATTGGAGCGGGGCATTTAGCTTTCTTACTCAACTTGTTTTTAACAAGCTCTTTCTCCTTTTGCTTTCGCTTCTGCAAGTAAAAGAAATACTTTTTAACTACAAAAACTAAAAAATTATATTTGAAATCAGTTTGCACGTACACTTGCAGTTGGAACAACAATGGAGCTGCTAATTTCATGAGGCACTTCCTCATAGATTCCTTGAGGGGTCCCTTCATCTTTTTCCTGTAGAATATTATCAAATTGCATTACTATTTTCTATAATTATAATAATATAGATGTGTGTGTATGTATATATACATATTGCTAAATTTACAATAGAAAAAACTGAAATATTAAAAATGCTATTATGACTAACCTCTGAAGATAATAACTCGTTATGATCTCCGCCTTTTTCGTCATATGTAGCAAGAAGCTTTGCACATTTTTAACACAAACACTCCCTTACTACTCGTATAGAATAGTTAACCAAATTGGGGAAAGTAGGGGAAAGGGAATTTGACTTCAAAGTATAATATAACAAATGATAATAAAATTAAAGAAACTTAAAGTGTCTTTTTACTTTGAGACACATTTACATAAAAAAAGTTCAATAAAAGTAATAGTTTACCAAACAATATACGAAGCGCGCATAAAAAAACTAGCATGGTATAATCGTATAAGTGAGGAACGAAATGGTATCGAACCTATTAATTAACGTGTTCTAAATCGGGATAGGCGGAGGGAATGCGGTTTCTTCACTCGTTTTCTTCTTCCCATCAGCAAATCGACTACACTACTCCAGAAATTGTGCTGGAAAATCTAGGGTTATAAAGAAAACGAGTGTTCTCTATTTTAATTCCCTTTTGTTTTGTTTTGCTTTTGTTATTTTGAACTGCATGTTGTTGTTTTCTATTGTTGTAAGATTCTTGCATTAGAATTGGGTGATAGGAGATATGCTTTGATTGTCTTTGGCTCAGTGCCCATTACAGGATCATCGAGTCATATTGCTTCTTAGAAGATGATTCACTCTAAGTCTGGTTCGAGGGCTGACAGTTGGTTGTGGTCCTTTTGTTTGTTTACTCCATATCTAAATGTTGTGATATATTTAAGTCGCCTTCTTTAAAATAAATCAGGATAGGCAAATAGTATTTTTCATAAACAAACCCCGAGTCGATCTAAAACGATACGGGACCGGTTTACATTTGTAATATACCGGTTATCACATAAATCATAATTTAATTTATCTGTTTGTTTAAATTAAACCGACTGTTTTTTTCTGTTTATCAAACATTTATTCTCATTATCTCATAAGCTGGTAAAGGGGAACGCATAATTATTTTATAAAAGAAGGCTTCACATAACATAAGCAATTGATAAAAAATTCCACTTTTGATTTCTAATATTTCGATTCCAAATCCCAACTATGCATTTGAAGTATCATATATAGCGAGATGCTAATATGCTATCCGTTGAAAAAGCCTACAAAAATAGGTGTAAAGTAGATGATAAGGATCTTTGCACATGCATGCCAACATGTGTGCAATTTCTCTAACATAGGGGCGAGATGATTCTCTTCATTTTCCTCCAAGTTATATGCTGTTATTTGTGAGTAATTGATAGATGAAATAATAAGATCCATCTCCAACAATCGTCAAAATCTCCATCAAAATAGGAGAATTGTCATTCTTTTGCTCCAACAATTGCACCAAATCCTACACCATTTCACTAAAATGGTGGAGGGGTTGAGTTTGGGATAAGGGTCAGATAGAGCCTCGAACTTGAAAAAAAAATGTCAAATAAGGCCATATTTAGGATGCTCTGTCCGGCCGACGCCATTTGAGGCGGTTCCCGGTGGAATTTTTTGACAAATTTTTTCGAGAATCTTATTCATCAAGTCTAGTTTACTCACAAATTTGAACTAAAACTTTAATCGGGAAGGCATTCAAATGAATTCTTGAAGATAACTGTGCAGTTAAAAGCGCAGTTATTTTCAAGAATTCATTTGAATGCCTTCCCGGTTGAATTGTTAGTTCAAATTTGATATGAGTAAACTATACTTAATGAATAAGATTCTCAAAAAAATTCATCAAAAAATTCCACCGGGAACCGCTCCAATTAGCGTCATCCGTACATAGCATCCTAAATATAGCCTTATTTGACATTTTTTTCCAAGTTCGAGGCCCTATCTGACCCTTATCCCGTTGAGTTTTTATGCCACATTTGGCGTAGAGATGGGATGCGTCATCTTTCCTTTTTATTACTTTTTTCTTATTGCAAAAGTGACCCAAAATTTTGGTTGTTATAGTTGACCCATTTTAGAACAACAAATTTAAATTTTAAATTTGATTAAAAAAATTAAATCACACAATATATGTTATAAATAAAGTTTCAAATCGAGACAACATAATAACAGAGTACAAATAATACATAAGAAAATAATATAATTAAAATTATTACAATTATAGCACCATTAAAATTAAAAACAACATTATTAAAGTCATATATAATACATACTAATTTAGAAATTAGTTGTCACCCAACCCGCTTCCAGACCCTCCAGGACCATCAAATAAATTCTCAAATCCAGTAGATGAGCCTCCTTCTTGAGATTTTTTATTTTGTAGAATTCTTGATCTTTCTCTAATGAGATATGCTCGCGCTTGTGGATCGTCAATAGATTTCAAATTCATGAACATAATTTTATCTTCTCTTCTATGTTCTTTATATGCCATATTAATTATAGTAGTCCTTTAGCTTGTATTTGTGAAATAATGAGTGAAATGTCAAAATACATATTTAATGAGGGGCTAATGTATAAATATGTGATAATTAGATAATTAAATATAATAATTGTAAAATGTTATTAATTAGAATAAAAAAATATTCCTTTATAGTAATAAAAATGGAGTAAAATGTTGGAGATAAAGTACGGTATGATGTGATGTACACCATTTTACTGCAAAAAAATGTTGTAAACTGTTGGAGATGGCCTAAGTGGGTTGATTTTAACGAGTTTATTATATGCCTTGCCTTTTGATCTTATTACATCCCAATATAATTTAGTTCGTAGTCATTATTATAATGACAATAATAATAATAATAATAATAATAATAATAATAATAATAATAATAATAATAATAATAATAATAATAATAATAATAATAATAATAATAATAATAATAATAATAATAATAATAATAATAATAATAATAATAATAATAATAATAATAATAATAATAATAATAATAATAATAATAATAATAATAATAATAATAATAATAATAATAATAATAATAATAATAATAATAATCACAATGATAATAAAAGAAATAATTGTTGATTTATGACTAACTTTAATTTATAGAAGTATAAGAATGTGATCTCTTAACTGTGATGACTATAATAGTAACTTTAGTTTATTCAAAAAAAATAATAGTAACTTTAGTTATAGTAAGGTATGTTAAATTTTGTATTTAAGTGACCATGATATTATATTATTGGTCCTTTTTTGTAAATAAGTTTTATTTCAATAATGTTTTTGAACTAACCTCATAATATAACCAACAAATAACAATGTAAAAAACAAGAACACCAACAAAATATTACTAATGATAATAATAATTTGTTATAAACATTGAGCGATAATTAAGCATTGATCTGAGTTCGTTTAATTAGGTACGTGGGAAACTTTTGGAGTAACGTTATATACTAGCTTAAATATAGGTATACTCTTGATCTCCTAAAAGATTGCCAGCTTTGGTTCATATGTAAAATAAGTAGTAACAAAATAGAAACTGTGTGTTTAATCGAGTTTTATTTGTAGATGAAAGAATAGAGTCTATATGAGTAATATATGGACAAAGTAACAAAGTTCATAAATAGAAACAATCTTTTAGCTAGCTATCTTTTACTATCGTATGCTGTGAAAACTGAAGTTTTGAACTGTTTACGGAGTAATATACGTAGTATAAACTTATTGGTTAGTTCATACGGAGTAATATATATGAGTAATAATGGACAAAGTTCATAAATAGAAATATATAATTTTTACGGAGTATGACTAGGGGTGGGAAAAAATACTAAAAAATCGATATACTGCATTTACCGTACTGAAAAATACCGGAAAATACCGGAATATTGGTATACCGTCATTTTCGGTACGGTATCATACCGTACCGATCGATTTGTTTCGGTATGGTAACAACAAATGTTTTCAAATACCGCGGTATACCGGTATTATACCGTACTGACTCCCTACTGAACAATTACTTTAAATTCTAAAATATTGTAAAAGCCCATTACAATTTTGAAACCAAAATTAATACTCAGGTTGGTTACAAATATCAAAATAATAAAATAAAGGTTCAATTTCCCAAACTTACTATAACCTTCTAGGCTTCTACTACGTAACATTCAAACAAACTAACCCTAATGATTAATGAGTAATGTTTTGGAATATTTCACTCATAAAAAAAAATGAGTAATGTTCTTAGTCCAGAAACAAGTTCATCTTGTCCCAAGAGCTTGCGAGTCGCGATGGTTGAGGCGTTGAGTAGCTGACAAGTCAAGAGAGATACACTTATATGATGAGTGTATCTACACAGGGATTCCGCGTGTCAAGGCACACAACTTAGGAATAAATGATTTTATATCCATGCTATTCAAATAATTTTTAAAAATTATAAAAATGACTAAATACACAATATCATATTAGGAATAAATGATTTTATACCCATGTTGTTTGAATAATTATATTTATTTTTGTTAGAGATCACTGTTGATTTAATATATTTACGAGCCCGTTTGGTAGCACCAAAATCGGCTGTTTTGGCTGATTCTGCTGAAATTTATGATATTCTGGCTGGAGTGGCTGTTTTGGCTGATTCTGCTGATTTAAGAAAAAAATATTTTAAAAATATATTTTATTAATAAATTAAAGAAAAAATTATATGTAAAAATAGCTAAAATGGTCCTCTACAGTAACTTCAGCCAATACAGCCAGAAAAGTAACTCCAACCTTACTTTTTCGGCTTATTACACAATTAGCGCGCGAAAGTAAAAGTTACGTGTTTGGTGAAAAAGCTGGCTGATAAGCCTGATAAGCCGAAAACAGAGTTCTCCAAACGGGCTCTACATTGTTCAAGTTATTTTAGGGGAATGTGTTACTTTTTAATATATGACATGTTGAACTGCTTAAATATACTAATAATAATTATTTTTCAATATTGAATATGACATCAATAGATTATTAATTGTATTTTGTA